AAATACTCCATAATTTCAACATAAACCTACAACAGATATTTTTCTTTTCTTTTTTCCTTCTTGACTTATCTCTACTAATTCTCAAGCACAGATAAGGAAGGAGAGAGAAAGAGAGATGGAGAAGATGAGAACTCAACCTTGGTTTTCCTTGATCCAGTGCTGAAATCCTAGAAATCAAACAAAAAATCAACAGCTCAATAGCAAACAGTGAACATTAATTCAGCGACATGTAACTAAAAAAAAAAAAAAATCGACCCAGCGCACAGATCCTAAAAATCAAGAAAAAATCAGCACCTCATCATTCGAAGGAACAATCATTCATTCAGCAATATATTTAAAAAAAAAAAGAAAAAAGAAATATCACAGGACAAAAAATTCGAATTCCTCTTCATTTCGACACATCAAGCCACTCATTCTTAGCTACTTAAAAGCAAAACCATTTCAGTCTTCAAATATTCCGAATTATTTTGCCTAAAAGATGAGAAATTGAAGGCAATAAGAACTCGCCATTCAAAACACTTCGCCCCTCCTTATGTGTCGGTCAGTCTCGGCAGCCAAGCAAACAACAACACAAGACTAGATTTCATACTTCAATAACTCGAAAGAAACAAAATGCAAAGGAAAATGACAACAACAATAACAAAAACAAAAACGCCAACAATTATCCAATATAATTTCCAAATTAAACATAAAAAATTTCTAGAAAAAATTCGAAAATAAACTACAGAAATCATTACCTACAGAGCCTTGATCGATTTCATTCACCAAAAATCACTAGAACCATCGCGCGCACCGAATTTTCCTATTCAGCAGGAAATTTAACTGCTATACCGGTGAATTTCTCAATGATTTTACTAAATTATGGCGGAAACGTTTTACACTAGGGTTTGGTTTTTGAAATGTTTGCTGGGAAGAGTTTCCTTTTTACTGGTTCAGAAACTGCGGGGCTAAAAGCTGAGAGAGAGAGAGAGAGAGAGGAAAAAAAAAACCCCCGAAGTAAATGGCAGTATAATAAACAAAAAATAGATGTGCCTGCGAATGGAGAGAGACAGAGAGATATTATATTATATTACCGTAAACGCCGCTGACGTGGACAATGTGGAGGCGGGGAAGGGGCTTGACCCTGCCAGGTGTATGACACGTGTCTATGACACATGGGACGATCCGGTGACATGGATGGTGTATCTAAAGACGGGCGCTGAATAGTTTACGGCGGATCTTATGAGATCTGTTGGATCTGATCCACGACACGTGGCCTCATGTGAGCGCAGTTAAAGGTTTCGCGCATAAATAACTAAAGCCCTGTGCGTGAAGACGTCGTTATCCGGTGACGTCAGGGTTGCCCACATTGCCTGGTTTGAAACTAACGGACCAAGTAACGCTGGTCACGTAATTTGTGGAATGCCTAATTTGCCCCAGTGAGTTGCTCGTTTTTTCCGGATTCTGTTCCATGTCAGCAACAAAATATCTGGAAGTTTTACTCCCATGTCCTGTAGGCGCAGGGTAAAACGAGTACGGGTGAATTCAGGATCACCAATCAGAAAACGCCGCGTTCTCTCAGCCTACTTGCAAATTAAAATGCCACGGATAAGGGAAAGTTTTGGCTCTCGTCAACGCCATGAAAACTTGCAATTTTGTATTCTTGTAAAATAAAAATACTACTTTTTTTTTTCCTATAAATAGAGAATTTATAAATCCGATGGGCCGAGGACAATGAAAATATATCACGGATGAGGGGTGGTCTCCATGCTTTTTATGGTCTTGGTTTTGGACAAAAACATTTTCATTTTCATGAATGAATTACAGTGTAAGCGTGCATAAACAAAAAAATCTTTGTTTGTCTTAGAAGGGAACGCAACAAAAGGAGTAAGCCGTACAGTACAAGTGTAGTTTTGTGTTTTTTTTTTCTTTTAAAATATAATTTTTCTTATAAGTGCGGCTTTTAAAGGTTGTTCGGGGATTTATGTTTATTTGTCGAATTCTTGAGTGCTCTCAAGAAAATGAGAGAAAAAAAATGTTTTGAATCCAAAATCTTTCTCCTTACGATTCTTTCTCTCTTACAACCCACTCCAACTTGGGAGACTTTTTTTTTTGTGTTGATTGGTGCTTTGCTTATGCAATTATGTCGTTTGAGTAGATAATACCAAAACGTTTGCAAATGTTACCGCTCTTAAAGTCATAAAAAAACCATCAATGACCTAGTCTTATTTCTCTCTTTTTGTGTTTTTTTTGTTTATAAATGTAAAAGAGGAAGATCCATCAAATCACTAAGGATGGAAAATAGGCAATGGAGCGATTCAACACATTATTATTTAGAGTGCAAATTGTGAAGTCAACCATAATATTTTGTTGTATTGGGACACATTATAGTTGTATGTATTAATGCTAAATGTTGAGAGAAAATGAAGAGTGAAAGAAGTAGTTTTATTCTTTTCATTTAATTTTTTGGGTCAACGGGAGGCACCAAACATATCAAGGGGTAAAAAATGGAAAGCATAAAGAATCAAATCAAAGACCTCATACTTATTTAGCTAATGTCCTCATCAGTTGAGCTAAGTCTTATAGACTTTCTTTAATTTATTTTTTTCTTTTTAATAAGGGAAGGGTGAGATTTAAGGATCAGAAAGGGGTAAGAGGATTAAAATCTAGAATCTCGACATTTTGAGGTCTTAATCTTTAATTTAGTTTAACGCGTTGTAAAAGTGATATATTCACAGTCCGTGTGTGTGTTTGGATTGAGATAATTAAAAAAAAAATAATTTGTTTCTCAAATCTCAATTACCTTTTTATCTTTCTCAATCACCTTTTTATCTCACATACATCACATCATAAAAATTGCTACAGTAATTATATCAAATAAATCATCCAAACAAACTCCGTCGATGTTTTTTACATCGAATTTGACGGCCTAGACTTCAACGTCGCGAGCATAATGTACTACTATCTTCTACTCATATGTTATTAATTGCAATTTATTAACAAAATTGTGGCCCTGAATGGAGATAAGAACAACTCTTTCTTTGTGGGCTTCAAACTATTAGAACCAATCACGTTTTGCCATCTACAACTGTTTGCCTTCATTAACTAGCCAATACACGACTCGCTTTTGTTTTTCCATGCATCGTTTCATCTAGTTGCTTTGTATGTCATTCATTCAAAAGGCATAAATGAACCATGAATCTGCACGTCTATGTCAATGCGCTTGTGTGAATGACATTAATCTGCGGTGGGGAAGCTTGCATTGAGATTAGCAGATTGATAAACCATATATAGGAAAACAATTAGCTGCAATTTGTTACCCATTCCTTTATGGCAAAACTACAATCTGAGGGCAACAAGGGTGAAAAAACACCTGCTTTCTTGCAGCACCTAGGCAGCATGAACACACAATTATACGGCAGTTCAGGAAAGATTGACCTTGCTCGCCTTTTGGTAGATTTTTTTTTTTTTTCGGAGACCATAACAGTTGTATAACCTAATCTATGCTATACTAAAGGAGAGGGGGCAGATTTAAAAAGATCCAGGGATAACTCGGAGGGAACTGAACCACCGCCGGATCAAACGGGTGCACAACACACCCGCCTGAATTTTTTTGAAACAAACTACTTAAATGTGACATTTTAATGGGAGGCAAGGGTTACGTGGCACTAAGCTAGGTGGTGGCCATTTGGTAGATGAAAAATACTTTTTGTGGGTTCTAATGCATGCATAAAGATTGGTGAGTACGTAAGATGGGAAGAAGAAAAAAAGAAGGAACAAGAATGCAAAAAATAAGGTGTCAAGAAAATATTGAACTGTGGAATTAACATAAATTAAAAATCGACATCAGAAAATAAGATTAAAGAAAAGAAAAACTAGACCCTTGTATTGTTAAAGGAGAGAAGCAAAGAGATGAATGATAATCTAGCTAGGAAACTCTGAACATAGGTTTTTATTCTTTTGATAAACCATTCAAATTACTATAATTTATTTCAAATTATGAGACTCGTTCCATTTGAAGGTTTCATCACCAGCAACTTTCCAGGAAACCAGGATTTCTTTTTTTTCGATTATGCTCTTTTTCTTTTTGATTTCATGTTCTTTTGGATATGTATCTAGTAGAGAGTATGTGGTTCTTTTATACACAGAAAGACGACGTGCAGTACATATGCATGGAGGGATTTGGCCCTCATAAATCGAGTTTTGTCCAATTTAAACTCTTTGATATAATTTTTACCATTTTTCGTGTAAATTAGTGCAATTTGGGTGTAGATTTGAATTTGTAACTCATATAACCAAGTTAATGTACAATTCACGATTACATCGTAACTGTACGAATTCACATCAATCACAGTAAAAATTACACGAGGTGCTTCGAACTGGATTTACGAGGCCTCGAATTTGCACGCAGACATGTTTTGGTTAGGAATAGTTTTCATCATTTACCTTTTCCCCCGCAATCTAGATTGACTTGAATTTTGTAGTAGTTTCTAATTTCACTTCTTCGTTCCACAAACTTTTAATTCTCCATCTCTAATTAGCAAATCAGAATAACTAGGATCGGCATTTTGAAGTTAGTTCAATGTGATATCACAAATTACCAATTGCAACACTTAAAAACTGATGACAATTTGGCATGCCTAAGAATGCCACATGGTTCAACATGAAAGTAGGCGCACTTTTATGCTTGAAAGAAAACTAGCTTTTCGAGCTGTTCTTCCTTTTCCTTTCTGTCATGATCGTTTGTCCTTGAGTTACTAGGGTTGCTTAGTTTTTCTTCTAATTCTACCGGTTACGTTTCCATAAACTAATTAGGTAATTATTCACGTCGGTGGTTGGTTTAGTGCTAGAACAATTACATAGAGAGTTTGAAATACTGAGGGCCACTGTGATTCTTAGAACATATCTTTGCTTCCTTTGAGATCACTTGAGTACTAAATTTGGTACTTATAGTTTGTTTAGACTTTGTTTTTTCTTTATATCAATTGAATCACTGAAGTTTTCATTTTTGCTTTGATTGAGGATTAGTAACAGATGGAGAGAAAGGTGCGGAAGACTTGCTTCTTTCCGTTTATGGGAAAATTCAGAAAACAGTGGAACTGTGTTCATCACGTGAAGGCTACAAGAATAGTACTATTATGATTGATGATATCTCTCTTATGGAAGTAGCTCTTTGTGGCTCGTCAAATCTCGTGTTAGATTTTCTTCATTACTGCTACAGTTTAGCAACACAATTTGTAAGACTTCATTTGAAGTTTATTTTGGAATGTTGTGTGTAGGCACATATTGCTGCTATAAGCCAAATGTTATGCTTGAATTGTTTCCTCAGGATTGTCTGGTTATCATTCTTAATCACGAGGATGTTTATTCCACCGTGGACGTGCCTAGCCCACTTCTTCAAATGGAATACCTTGCAAATATAGTCATAAAAGCAGAACCTTTAGCAACTGGTTTGGCAACTGATGTTCATGGCCAGGTACGTTTTTTTAAAAACCTTTTCCTTGTGTCTTCAGTGTGATTCATCCCATTCATGTAACTGTTGTGTGTTAGCAGAAAACCTATGATTGCGTAACAACTTTTAAACTTGTTGCTTGTAAAGTGTTAGAAATTGACTCTGGAACATAATCAGGCCTGGAAAAAGTACATATTGAGTGCTAATCAGGCAACGGATAAGGATGGTTTTTTCCTCTCATTTTTCATTGCATTTGATAGGCATGTGTAAAACATGAAGTAGCAGCAGGTTCCCCACCCATCTTCATAATCTTGTGTAGGTGCATATAATTATTGAGGAGAAAAGTTAATGGTACGAGTCCAATGTAGTTCCTTCGACCAGCAAAGCATGCTCTCTTGAGATCAAGTTCTAAGCCTTATGACCTCTTTTGAATTATAAGCTATTGGAAGAGTTAAAATCAAATAACATTGTCCAATTTAGAAGTACTGTACCATGCCCCTTTTTTCCTCGTCCGTCTATAGTGCTTCATCTCAAACTGACGAATGGTTATAGTCTGAACTGGCTTTTACACTGGAAACTTTTGAACTGTTTATCTGTAGATGCTGCAGGGCCCTTCTGACGTGATTCTCTGTAATACATTCTTAGAGCTGGAAAAAAAATATGAGTAAATTTATTTCTTCAATTTGTTTTGTACTTCTTCTGAACTGGCTTGTGATTGATCATGTTGTGTTTTCCATCCAGTTAACTGTTCTCAACAAGGGAATTTGTCAAGGTTCTGGATGCTCAAAAAGCAAGATTCGCAACTTCCATTTCAGGGTGAAAGAAAATTGCGTTGAATATTTCTATCCTGGGAGTCGGACTTGAATACTAAATATCCTTGTGAAATGTAATTCATGAGTACAATTTTTTTTTTCGTGGGAAACTGGTGCAACTGGTACTCCCAGTCCTAAGGAAGCTAGCAAATTCATCAACATTACTCTTAATTGGCTGGTGGTTGTCATCATGCTGTATACCTTCAGAATTTAAAGGATGATGCAAAGATGGTCGTTTGCAATGCCTGTTTCTTCTTGTTAGCCATTTGCAAGCACGTCACGGGCTCCAATTTTGGAAGATCATGATTCCGGCTAGTTCTTGTTGGGCATCTTATTCAAGCAGTGATTTCTGACCAGGCCGGAACGGGAAATAACTTAAAATCTCTCATCCAGCAACAGGCGAGACAACCCTTTAAAATCCAATTGAAAAGGGGAGAAGTGGTTTCTTCAGTCGGACTAGTTCTTTGGAGTTTTTACAAATTGTATGATTTTAAGAAATCCCAAATTTAGCTTATTTTGGTCTTTATTATTGTGTTTGGATTGCATTTTCCATGATTTTTCATGGAAAAATTACTGTAGCGATTTGATATATGTGAGGGAAAAAGGTAATAGGAAAATGTGATTACGGAAAACGATGTAATTTTTCGACGAAAAATCGCAATCCAAACAAGGCTGATTTTCAAACACAATCCTTGTCATTACTCATGAGGATGGGGAGGATGGAGATATGAAAGTCATTCGATCTCAAAACAATGTAGAACTTACGCTAAGAGCAACAATCCCCCGGTGCATCTCATGGAATCCTTATGTGGAGTATATAATCTGGTTTTGGAAAATACATATTGTGTAACGCGATTATACACTTTTTATTATTAGTAAAATAAAATACTTTTTTTTCCAATTAATTTAGAATTATTGCATCTTAAATGAAGTACAAGAGATTTTTTGTCTCGAATTCTTCAGCACGAAATTTGAAGTTTCATAGTTCATCATCAGTTTTCTACAATCCTTATTAGAAGAAGAAGAAGAAAAAAAAAACAGGTAAAGGTCAAAGAAGTAAAGGAAGGTTGATTAACCAGCGTAGGGAAAAGAGTTTTTAAGTTAACAATTGAAACAATTAATAATAATTGGGGAGCGTGGCCTATAATTATGGAGATAGTTCTTTATTTAAGCACATGCCCATATGCTTCACGTGTTATTCTAGCACAGCTCCTAATTTTCCTCGTTCTCTAACTGTAATGCAAAACAACAGGAGCACCATTCAGTATTCACCATTCACCACTACGCCTTGACTTGAACAATATTCATCATTCAAGACAGCTATGTTGTGAATTAGCTCGCAGTCAAAATGGAGGAATCCAGGCACAGATATTATAGAAAATATAGATCGCAGTCGGTGTACTTATTTATCTTTAAGATCATTTTTATTTCCTGATTACCAAAAATTGTAGCATTTGATATTTGCTAGAGTGTGATATTTCACGTATCTTTTGTTAACTGTTTTAGCAAATTGTGCAGTTTCTTGCAGAACAATATGGTTCTTTGCATTGCGGCCATCAAGGTATGAATCTCTTCATCCTATGTTTCAATCCTTCTTGATGCAATATGTTTGTTTACAATCCTGGAGATTCTGAGATCTTCTGTTTGTGCTATATTGCTGCGCACGTTAATTTTTTGTGTATCATCTCATTTCCCCCCCCCCCCCCCCCTAATCTGTACATAATTCTTAACATGCATGGATCTTATATCGCGCTTAATTGTTTGTTTTCCAGCTTCCCAGAATCTATTATTCATCTGTAACCATATGATATGAGAATTACGGATAGGGATCAGAAGTATGAACAGCCAATATACATGCATGATTGGATCTTATTGTGTTGATCTCTATGGAGATGCAGATATACTTGCATCTATACACGTACGTGGTGCTGGCTTGTGCTATGTCAGTACGCCTGTTTCTATACAAATAAACACCTGCGTCTGTTAGAATTTAATCATCAAACGTTGCCATATTCAATGTTAATGAGAAGAATCTCAAAGGGAGAGGGTTAGAAAAAGAATTTTAGTTGCTAGGAAATACTAGATCCCAAAAGTAAAATGCTGGCATATAATCTCATCTCCATCGTGTATTTTTTTTTTTTTTGCCTTTTTTTGGGTCGATATTTCGGCTTAGGAATCCTTCTTGTTACACAATAGGGATTCCTTAAGCTTTAATGCTTTCAGCTCCTTCTTCATTTGAAGTAGGGTCAAACTCAAGTAATGAGTTAAAATAACTCGTCCAACTTTTAGAAATTGAAATCGAATTTGAACTCAACTTTAATTCACCTTACTTGAATTCGAGTCTAATCGAACCTAATCAAACTCACTTCATAAAAATTAATATTTTATATATAATTTTAACAAAGGATATAATTTACATTTCACACCAATAAATATGTAAATTCTAATATATATATATATATTTAAGACTCTATTAGGTTTGTCGAGCATACGATCATACGCATATAATACTTGAACTTGACTTGTACGTATTCTCGAGCAACTTGAACTCAACTTGAGTTTTGTCAATATTGAATTTGAGTCGAGCAATTGATCGAGTTAGTGGCAAACTCGAGTCGAGTAACTTGGTCAACTTGTAGTCCTACTTTGAACGCTGACTAAGCAATACATGCCATTCTTTCTTGGTTTGGTCTTGCACTGTTTCTAAATTGAGAGATTTTCTTCCCTTTCCCTTTTTTCCCGGAGTCTAGCTTTAGAGTAACTGAGCATGTTCAGTACTTTACTGCCGGAGTCTAGCCTTAAGATAACTGATGAGTATGCTCAGTCCTTTACTGTACTTGAAAGTTTAAGCCGCTTAGAGTTGCATTACGGTTATATTTTTGGTATACTCGATTAAACTGGAGATCTAGCTGACTTAGGTTTCATCTGTGGGCACCAGTCCTTTTGTGTCTCCATCCTGAGTGCCTTTAGCTATTGCTATTAGCCAACAAACCGTCAATTTTTGTTCTGTAGGAATCTGATAATGGCAGAAGTACCCTAGAGTTAATTTTCATCTAGTGCTAGCTATAGGACACAAATTCTTTGCATGTAAGCACTTCGATCAGATGATAATGAACATAAACAGAGGAGAAATACACTTTATTTGAGAGCTTTTCAGACATCGTCCAGGAACAAATCATAAACAGAAACACATTCCCGATCTTAAGAATCTTATTTGCATAGACGCGGTCATGAACACTTACTAGCGGTACAGTAGCAACTATATAGACTAGACAACTAACAGAACTCAAGAGAAGGGTTCATCACTCGATTACCATGGCCTTCAATTGCCATACATCTAGTTGATAGCTTTTCTGACCTTTGCAAAAACCACCAATCATGGACTCATAATGCTCCTGCCCTATCTAGGATCAATGCTAATCTTCATTTACATATCCGTGATACGCACCCAAGAAAGGGCAGGCGTTAGCTGTCTGGATCTTTGTCTCTGTCTTTGCTTTTGTTATCATCAACTGTTTGTCGCACAAATTGCCCACGAACACGTGGCCTCTGTTCAGCCAACTTTTTCCTGCTCTGATATCTCACCTGAAGTCCATCATGAAATTAGAAAAAAGGTAGTTCAGCAATTCTATATAACATCACTAAATGCACTAGCAAGATAACTGAATGCAAATTTTACCTTCTCCCCACATGTGAATATTGAGCACGATGTCTCAATAGTGTTTATGGTGCTTAATGTAATTGCAGGCAAACATGTATTTCTAGAATGACAACCTAAAAGAAGATTGGTATCCCATAGTATCCCTAGATTCTTCTAGTGGTTTAAAAATAGAATGCGAATCTAGTGGTTTAAAAATAGAATGCAACAACTAAGGACAGATTGAATGCAAATACCTTCTTCTCAAAGCATCTTTCTTTCCTCTTCTGGCGAAACTTGTACAAAGCAGCCTCTCTTTGTGATAAACGATCCTGATCTACACAACTCCTGCTTCCACTGGCAATTCCTCCACCAGCCCCACATTTTCCAGTGGCTCCATTATCACTTGCCACGTTTGTTCCTTCCACAATCACAGCAGTGCTGCTCCCGTTCTGTCCGCTGCTCCCATTTTGCCCGTTACTTCCATTGTTGCTTCCAGATGCACTACCATAGTTAGCGGCATTACCTTCAATTGCGACACCTAACATGTTGGAGGGCCCACATTGTGGAGCACCCGACATCATGTTTCGCAAAGACAAATCATCACCATTAAGTAGCTGCTGTTGTTGCTGCAAGCTATGAACATGGTGGTGATGGTGATGGTAATGGTGGTGGTGGTGGTGTTCCACTTGAGGTTGCTGGTGCATGGCCCTTGCTTGAGCCACCATTGTCTTCGCAGAATCAGGCTTCCCCGCTGTCATAGGCTGGGGGGAAGTATCATAGCCATTTTGCACTGGCTGAAAGGCAGAACAAGGACGAACACTAACCGCAGCTCTGGGGGTTGTTTTCTCGCCAAATGTTTCCACCTTAGTAAAAGCGTTGTTTGTAGTGGAGCCCATGTCATTGTTGTTGCTACTGCCATTAGAACCCTGATTAGGTGTTCCACTTGAGTTAGACTGTAAATTTTGCATTGATTCAGTCTTTGCGGCTTCTGAACTATTATTAACCGGAGAACAGCTGCCGACAATTCCAGTTGGTGCCTGGTTAGTGGTAGATGTGGTGTTATACCTGCATAATAACAAATAAGCGTTGAACTCTGAGCGGTCATTGCTCAACTCGAGGATAGCTTTAGGCCTGAATTCATATACCTAGAAAATGCAGAATGATCCGAATGTCTTAATATATTACGTTCTTGGGTACTGTTTCCACCATTGCCTACATCTCTTAGTCGCTTCAAACTAAGCTCAAGGGATGGCAGTTCTTTAGCATTGTACAGGTCCATATCTTTTTGTACAGCGATCTTTGATGGGTCATTCTGAACTTCGTTGTGTGCATTACCTCCGTGAGTCATAGTGATATTGGTAATGGCACCCATCAGATCATTGTCTTTGTCCTGTATTTCATCTTTCGCCATCTCATTGCGGTACTCCACCATACCCTTTTCCATTTTCTCCCCGTCTTTCTTGATGTCTGGAGTGGAAAATTTGTGCTTCTCAGTACTTGCCATATTACCTTGTACCTCATCACTTTGGTCTTTGAGCTGCAAGTCTGGGTCTCTAGGAACTCCTATTCTCAAATCTTTGCCCATTGCAACATTATCTGCAACAATCAGAATTTGGTAAGTTAAGAGCTGTACAGCACAAATAAGTGCAAAAGCTTATTCCGTCGAAGAAACGCTACCAGGATCATCATCACATTCATGGGCCTTTCTGGTGGCATTTACGGGCACCCAGTTACTGCTATGTGCCTCTGGCCTTGAATGAATAACCTGAGCACAGGTGCTATCAGGGGGATCTGCTAAATCATCCCATGGTGACATACGTTGCGGACTGTCAACTTCTACAGCCCTTTTTGACCAAGAACTCTGCTGGAAGGAGATATTACAATCAATTGACACTATAAACAGACTAGATCACGGTATGTTTAAGAGTAATCACACGTAAAGTGGACATGAATTAGTTTCCACAATGTTTTTATGTTTTGCAGTGCA